TCACGAGTTAAGATCATTTTGACAAAAGATTTTCTCCTAAGGGAATTTGATGATTAATGACATTCCTCAAGCCTAATGACAATCTTGTGATATTGAATGATATTGACTGTTTTCCAAACAATTGAATTTAGTTTGATTCACTCATGCAATCAACACTTTCTCCGTGAATGCATTCTTTTGATAGTGTCATTCATGACATTCGAATAACATCGATCTCGCCTGGTATGCTTTCCCTATCAGAGCACCTATTATAACATATTCCGTTAGATGTGCAATGGCCATTTCGGAAACTTTTTGCTTGATATATTTACAGTCCAGAATTTTTGCACGGTGAGCTTTCGCAGCCCGAAGCACCTTATCGACTTGGCGAGCTTTCGCAGCCCAGAGTCTTTTTCCTTGCCCGGTGAGATTTCGCAGCCCGGAGCACCTCCACCGACCTGGTGAGCTTTTGCAGCCCAGAGCCTTTTTCCTTGCTCGGCGAGCTTTCGCAGCCCAGAGCACCCCATCGACCTGGCGAGCTTTCGCAGCCCAGAGTCTTTTTCCTTGCCTGGCGAGCTTTCGTAGCCCGGAGCACCCCATCGACCTGGCGAGCTTTCGCAGCCCAGAGTCTGTCTTTTTCCCTGCCCGGTGAGCTTTCGCAGCCCGAAGCACCCCATCAACCTGGCGAGCTTTCGTAGCCCAGAGTTTATTTCTTTATATGGTGAGACTTTATTTAGCCAAAAATCCGTTCTTGCACGGTATGGCTTTGTTTTCGATCAAAGTCCGTTCTTACACGGCACAACCTCTTCATTTAGCCAAAAATCCGTTGTTGCACGGTATGGATTTGTTTTCGATCAAAGTCCGTTCTTACACGGCACAACCTCTTCATGTAGCCACAAATCCGTTCTTACACGGTATGGCTTTGTTTTCGATCAAAGTCCGTTCTTACACGGCACTACCTCTTCATGTAGCCAAAAGTCCGTTCTTACACGGTATGGCGTCCTTTGTTGTTCATAGGGTTTTAGTCCCTAGGCAAAATCTTTGACGTTCATAGGGTTTTAGTCCCTAGGCGTTCCTTCAAGGTGTTGTTCCTATTGCCGTTCATAGGGTTTTAGTCCCTAGACGGGATCTTAGCTGCTCACAGGGTTTTAATCCCTAGGTGGATTTTCCGACGTTTACAGGGTTTTAGTCCCTAAAAGTCATTTTAATTTTGTCCCTAAAAAAAAAATCAACAAAAAAAAAAATCAATCAGCAAAAAAAATCAAAAATCAACAAAACATCCAAAAATAATAATAAAAAAAAATAGATAAAAAAAAAATCAATCATTCCTCATGCTTTAGCCATTGCGCCATCCCATGCCCTCCGCAAAAAAAATTTTTAGGTGTCTCTTGTCTTTGAAAGGAACCTCCGCAAGCTTCCCTTCAAAGAGGGGCAGCTGTTGACACCTAAATTTTTTGCCCAAAAATCATTTTCAAAAAATTGGAGCTTGTTTTTCCACAAAAATATTTTGGAATTATTCTATAAAAAAAAAAAAAACGGAAGAGCAAGGGCCAAGGATTCGAGTGTAGCTAACCGAGACCTGAGGGATCAAATTGCAAATGAACCAGCAAGTTGGGGCCAAAATACAATTTCCAAAAATTGGGGGACCAAATCGCAAAATTTGTAAAATTTGCCCCCAAGCCCTTAAATCATCATTTTTACCCCTAATCAAGCTTGAAATTGAAAACGGGCAAGGTAAAATTGATCAGATCAAGCCAAAAGGACTAAATTGGCTCAAATCGGGCATTCTCGGATAAGAAAGTGGCTAATTTTGAGGGACTTTCCTGCAAACTTGGGCATGGAAAATTGCAAATTCTGATTATCATCTTAAACTAATATACTTCAACTTTCAAACTGATCAAAAATTCCGACCAAATGAATGGATTAAAGCACTTAAATTAGCTTCCAAAAACCGGTCCACGATTTGGTCTCAATTCGAGGCTGCTGAGTAGCCAAATTTGTGGCCCCACCATATCCTACTCAGCCAGCCGATCAGCGTGAACTCTGGCCGAGGTGTGAGACCATCATTAGGAGTGAAAATGGACAAAAATTTGCCAGGGATAAGCTGCTGAAGACACGTGATAATCTCAGTCAAACCTGCTCACTCAACAGCTGCAAATTATGATGATTTTGGAGTCAGAAAGTTGGTGAAGAGACTCAGTTTGCAGGCTTGGTAAGTGGGCAATCACGGGCTAAAAATCGGGTTGGATTTGATGGATAGGATCTCTGAAGCACGTTCTTTTGGGGGATAAAAATAAAGGGATGAGACAAGAGGAGGAGAGTTCACGGTCGTTCCAAAAACTCACCCTCAGACGCAACTCAAACAAAAACATAAACCCAGAAAAGTTCCAGATTGACTTTTGGAGAGGAAAGTGAGATTTTCGTGAACTTCGAGCAAAAATTAGCCAAAACCTTCAACTAGAGAGTGGAACTACATTCAAAGATCTTTCCAACCATAGGTCGAACACCCCAAATGGATGTCGGGAAGCCACCCAAAATCCCCTCGAAAAGCAGCCCATTCTCGGGTCAAGAGAGAATCCCAGAAATGTTGTGAGTGTTGAAGTCAGACGGTTACTGGTGAGGGAAAGTGGGAGTTTTTGAGAGACATGAGGAATATATGAGGATACCTGTGACTTGAAAATTAAACTAGAATACATCTAGTTTGGCTTAGTGTCAAATTAGTCAGAAAAGGAGGTCGTTGATTCTGGTTTTGGAGACCAATAAAAACATTCGTTGTCAGTTCCTTCTTTGCAGATCTCATTTTCCAGTTTGAAGAAGCCTAGTTCCCCGCGCCCTTGGAAGACAGGTTTTTGGTTCCCTCGGCCAAGGGATACTTCAAAGAGAAACTAGGAAGCAAGGTGAGTATCCTACATGTATTTTTGTTCAATTTTGAATATGTTTTAGTTATGAAAAAACCAAGAGAACCAGCCCAGAGAACTGATTTCTGAGGCTGGAATTTTTCTAAGTGTTAGAGCTCCTTCATGAGCTCTAAATGTTTGACTTGCTACTCCTCTTTGCATGCGTTTTCTACCTTCGTGAGCTTGATGAATGTTATACGGGTGTACAAATTAGGCTGAGATCCACTTGGTTTGGTCTTTGAAGCCCCGTGTGAACCATGAGATCGCTTGCAACTTGAGTCAAAAGCCAAGCTAACCCACATTGATTCATGGCTAGTCATTATGAACCATGCATGTATGCTTCTTGGGGGGGTTGTTTCGACGTGTTCGCTTGATCATTCTCCATGATGTTTGTTTCATTTAAAAGTAGATGTTACGTATATTCTCTCAGATGAAGTGATGTTTCCCATAGATCTTGCACGTGATGAGTGTCGGGGCTTAAACCTGGGCATGCAACAGGTTTGCTTGACCTGGGTTTAAACCCAAATTTGCAAAAGCAGCCCGAACCCACATATTGGAGGCCGATTCCAACTTGGTTCTCGTGCGTTTTAGGTTGTGATTTCTAGCTAATCTTGTTCTTTGCATGTGATAATATAACCTTGATACTTTGGTTCCACTTGATATTACACACGGAGTAAGATTGAAGGCCACGAATATGGCTCGAGGAAGCCATTTGGGGCATTTTAATGCACACCAAATGCTAGACGAAATGCCCAAACCAAGTTTCGATCTTGAAACGGTTGATTTGAGCCCGGTTCTCGTAATATTCATATTCTGAGTTGTTTCATGTTCACATAAACCGAGCATAGGCCGATTTAGGGAATTATTATTATTTTAAATAAAAAACGAAAATTAAAAAAAAATAGAAAAATTTCGAAAATCCAAAAATTGGAAATTGGGTTTCAGAATTGCTTTTCTCTCCCTTTTTGTGTGATTAGCGTATGTTTGATTGCTCCTCGCTTGATTCGCACGCTTTGAATTGCATGTTTAATTTAAACTCGCATGTGGTTGATTATGCATGTTAGGTTCATGTAGTGATTGTTGCTTCCCTTAGCTTGGTTAGGAATGAATTTTTTAAACTCCCAGTTAGTGTGAACACGTTAGGTGGTGAATTGAGCAAGATTAGGTACCGAAAGGGCACTAGTTGGTCAATTAGTGTAATCAAGTCCTCGTACCCATTGAATCTCTGGTTCGTAGAATTATAGCATTTCTCCCCTGCTTTGCTTGGGTGTCTAATCGACCCACCAAAAACTGATTAGTGGCGACTCCTAGGTGAAATTGATTTCCATGTTAATAACTTTAACTTAAGTCGCGAATTGGTATGAGCTTGGGAGAGCTCGAGCTAGGTTTAACTTAGTAATCCATTAGCCTAACCCCTTAGGCGGCGGGGCCGGTTTAGGGAGGTCGCGACATCTCCCCGTGGGAAAAATCGGGCCACCGATAGATTTACAGTTAGACTTTACTTATATATATAGCCTTGCCAAATGAATGGCCGCGTCGAAAATGATCCGATCCATATTTACTCATTTAACTCGTTTTGACTCATTTCCATACAATACAATTCTAGTGACCTATGCATAACCCAACCCGTGTTGATAAAATAGACTTCATTATCAATTCTAATCTAGAAAAACTTGTTTTTTATAAATTTTAAAAAATATATGTATTATTAAAACACTGTGGATAATTTTATACAAAAAATTCAGATTTTTTAATATATTACTTCTTTATTTTCTATTTCTTTCTTTCTTGTTTTTTTTTGCTTCTCCATCCAGCGAACCGGCGATGACTGGTGATCATCGACCAGCTGACATCTAGTGACAACCGGCAACCAGCGATCGACAACCGGCGACGACCAGTGACCGCCGACCGGCCAGTGACGACCGGCAACCAGCGCATATCGACATGGCGGCCCCCAAAGCATGTCGGTGCTACTTAGTTGGTTCAACAACATAATGTATAACATACGTCGGGTTTCAAGTTTAGAGGTGGCAAACTTCAATCAAGAAGTGAGTGATACGTTGAACCCTAACCAAACAGTGCGAAAATTAAAGAAAAGAGTACATTGCTTTATCAGAAACCTTATTACATGGCTTTTGAAGTCCATAGCAAGCGTATACTGATGTAGCTGGAGCGTTTCCCTTTCTCCAAGCTCAAACCAAGGGTAAGCCTTTCTCCATCGACGCTGTCTCGTACACTGACCTCCAAAGGAATGAACGTCGCACCCAAACCTTCCACTCTTTCCCTTGATACCCTATAAGCCGACACAAGAGGTCCGTCGTCTTCACATCTGCATACATTCCAAATGATTCGTGCATGCCGGCTAAGTCGATAAGAATGAAATATGACCTATTCTAGTGTTGCTCATAGGATAGAATGAACTTTTCTTGTGGAGTTGAAGAAAAATTAGGACTAACCTTCTGGGGAGGATCCATAAGAACGATTATTTGGAGAGTCATCCAGAAATATTGGATCATCTTTTCATTAATTTTACCTAAAACCGACAAAGGGAAACAAACCACAATTTTGAAAAATATAGTATCATTCCATCTACTGAAATGCATAGAACAACGACGGATGACTGCCATACATAAACACCTGGGGATCAGAAGCTGAGAAAAGCACAGGTGATGCTGTATGAAAAACAGCTTCGCATCCATTGATGGCCGAGTCGAAGGACCCTTCTTCCTGCAAATCGGCTTTGCATAAATGTAGTCTCCCCTTAGCACCTTCAAGAGCTCGAAGGTGTTGCGTCTTCATCGGATCATCTGTTTGTGCACGTGCAACAACAGGAAGTAGATTTGGTGTATAGAACCTCAGAGTCAAATTTACAATACAATGACAGATAAGAGTGAAATTATTAGGTTGTGATGCTGGATTTGCACTAGATTCAGCTTGAGAGGCAACGTATGACCAAAACTAAACATTCAAGCCAATTGGTTCAGGTTCCACGAGAGACTTAGGTATGTGTAGGGAGTGGACAATGGATGATGATATTATGTCATAGGCACATGAAGCATCAACAGCCACTAGGTAGTAGGTACTCGCTTTGGCGTGCATACGAGCCCTTACACATACCCAGACGCGTATATGTATGTGTGAGTTAATCCGAAAGGTAAGAAATGATTAGAAAAGGAATATGTATAATGTTTCAACTAAGATATCGGTGAACCATTACCGCGTTACTGCTAAAATGAACAGACCGATAGAGGATTCGAAAGTTCAAGAGGGTAAACAGAATAGAGCATGAAATGAAGTTGTAAAGACTTACCGGGATCTTGTACAGTCGCTTTGACTGTGTAGCCACGCTGAAGCAACGACTTGACAAGCCAAGATGCGATGTAACCGGTCCCTCCGGTCACGCACAGCACCTTGTCCGCTGTACTCATCTCACCTCTCCTTGGAGTTCAAACCTTGAAACGGGCCATCGGAGGGATTATAGTTTAGAGTGAGTGCAACACATACATAAGGGAAAAAGGATTCTCTTTCATGACGTGTAGAATACAATAAAATTTTGCAAACCGTCAAAGGTCATTTAACGGACAAACGTGTTTGATGACCGATGAGGCATTGACTTTATATGCTTGTTTTAAATCTACGATTAGAACGCATGGGTTGGGAAACTTTTAATGACCACCAAATCTTTTATTCTAAACTTAGAACTGGTTATATTGAGGTCAGGGAAATGATAATATAAGTGTCATAACTTTTATGCGGCGCTCACTTTAGTACGAAAACTTTTCGAAGGATCATTTGACTGTCACATTGGTGGAAAAAAACGATAATTTAAGTGCCTTTGGCAACATATTCAAACAAAGAATCACATGTGTCTGTTAGGATGAACGTATGAGTTGTGTTAGAGAAATCCAACATCGGAGAATTGTTGTGATGTGAAGCAGTTAATATATCTTAGTTGGCTCGTAACTCATTAGTTTAAGCTTTCGAGTGAAGCTGGGTCAAATTGGATATTTTAACAGACTCGGACTTGAATTCCCTCTTGTTGATCTCCCCAACCCAAGCAAAAGATATTGGGCTTCTCCTGCTCGCTCCCAACAATGACTTTTAGAATGAATTTTTAAGTCCGACATGGTATTTTTAATAATAAATATTAAGTCCAGAGTTGACATTGGACGTGGTGATTGGGCGTCCAAAAACCTTGAAGAAATCGATTCTCTCTCTTCCTAGAATTTTCTCACATTTCTTTTCTCTGTTCCTTTTCTACCTCTTGTTTTCTTCACCATAGCCACCGCTAAAACTAGGACACCACGACCTCCAATAGACAGATTTGGCCACCGACGAATGAACGGTTTTCGGAGAAAGTAACGAGCTCCACGATCACCACATCCGCTCAATCGTGGACGGTCAATATCGCCGAAAAAAGGGATGGACTTTGCCTTTCAATCTCTCTTGGCTCACCATGTGGATTTAGTGAGTCCCTTTCGTATTGTCAATTCTTTTTAGCTTCCAAATTTCTGCCTCAATAGCTTTCGATAGTACGCAAGCATGGTAAAGAAGACTGATTCGAGCCATTCAAAACACAGACAACGAATTTAATATTGCCCCAATTCCTATATCTAGGGTTAGGGTTTGAAGAACGTTTTGGATTTAGCCCCAATTCATTAATTTGAGGCAAACAAATGGCCAAAGTGACGTCATTTCGCACTATTTTTGCTGGCGAGCCAAGTCGAACGGTTTATATCAAAATATTGCTTGGATTTTCCAGCCACAAAAATCGTGTGATTGCACTAAAGCGGTGATTGATTTTTTACCAAAATTCCACTTAAGTGATCAATCGAAAAGTTTTGGCACTAAAATTAGCTCCGTCAAAAAGTTATGGCACTTGTGGTAACCTAGGTCTATTATCATGTTTATATTCAATACAATCTAATAAGTCATTTAAAGCTAGGATCTTCCAGAGGTCTAATAGACAATTTATGCTACGTTGGCCTTTGTTTCGTTATTATTTTGGGATTTTGTTAAGGTATCTAACATTACTTGTATACGAAATTTATATTCTATTGATGTACATATGGTCTTTTTCACATATTGTCCGAATCTTTTGAGTTGAACTTCTTAATGTAGCATGAGAGCCAGGTTCTCCTTTATTTCGCACATGTAGCCCCCTGTAAAAAAGAATGGTTTACTGAAAACAAAGAGTGGTGTTGATCAAACGGTAAAAAAAAACTCAACCGAGAATAGGAGATAGCAAAAACTTATAAGCCAACTCTCCTTCTGCAAGTACTAAGTTGTTGGAATCGGATTGAAATTCCAAAGTTAGGTTTATATGGACAATATGAGCCATGCAATTGCTATCTTCTCAGTATTGAATTTATGGATGAAAAGAGTGATTTCGATACTAAGATATTATAATCTAAGAAAGTGACTACACAACCTCCCACTTCAAAATAAAGAACTTGTTTATCTAATTACCGATCGTCTTTGGTGATAATTTTTCTTAAAGCAAGAAGGGAGTTGGAGTGCACGTACGAATTGCCTTCCCCCGGCGCTTCTCCCGGGTGCCCCTTTGCAGTATCCTAAATTGCGATTGCAAAGTGAAGAACACTGTATCAATTATTTGAGGTTTGTTGACGAAGAGAAAAGGAAATTAATGGAGACAGTAGGAGAGTGGAATTGAGGAAAGTTCATTTAATTGATTTTTTTCTTCAAAAAGCATAGCACATAGATTTTTACGACCATAATTTTTTAATAGAAATTGCCATCCATTTTGAAAATAAAAAAGTTCGAGGTAATTTGATGATTCATTACTAAAGAGATTAAACTGACAAATCTTTTTTCAAACACACTACGTAATATTTAGGTTGTCTTATGACTTGCTTTTTTTAACTTGATTGCTATAATAACATGCTAAAATGAAATGGAGTTTTAATCAATTTAACAAAAAGTATCATAATTCAACTACCCTAATTCAATGATGACGTTATAATCAATTTAATGGAAAGTATCACAATTCAACTACCCTCATTCAATTTAATGAAAAGTATCATAAATTGACAAAACTTTAATTAATCTTATTTCTACCCAATCTATTGACATTTCATGGCACTCCAACTACCCTAATTCAATAGTGGAAGCTAGATAAAAAAACAATACATGATGCACATGATCTCTTAACAACAAGACATCGCTTGTTCTGAAAGTGAAATATATTTATTGATGGCGTATGAAGCACTTACTATGGATGTTTTTTTTATTTGGTTATGCAATTTGTAGTTAATTTAAATTATATTCATTAACTGATAAGTTAATTTAAAATAAGGCTGTTTATAAGGATAAGCAACTAGGCCATTCAATCGGGAGCTAAATCAGAAGGCCGATTCACATGGGGACCAATTTGATTTCTAGGTAAAAAATTTGGGAACTGGCCTTCACCAATTCAATTCTCAATTTTATACCGTGAATCAGTCAGTTCTACCCAAGAACCGGCCTTATAAGTTAAAATCAAATCTTAAGTTAAGTTTCTTACACACTTTCTCATTTCTCATTAAAGTCAACATGATATGTAAAAATAATTAAGGTTATTAAACTTCATGTCTTTGCTATAAATAAAAATGAAACAGAAAAAATAAGCAGGCCGGTTCTTAGGCCGATTTTCGAAGCTGCCGAATCTGGAGATCGTGGAACAATGGGTTGACATCTTTTGAGATGAACGTGATTAAGGGATGGAAACAGACTTTGATAGGAAATTAAAAGTTTAAAACGCTCTCTGCACAATTGCCTAGGAAATGTTAATTTATATTAATAATATAAGGAAATGGAGGGAAAATGGAGCAACAAGTCGTGCAAAACTAACACTTGTCTAGGAAAATGTTTCTATGGGTCCTACGAAGATTTAAAAATGAAAAGAACTGTTGCCATAGCACTGCCCTTTTCTTTTTTTCTTTTTTTTTTAAGATTGAGATGTTGACATATCGAAATTTAACATCATCTATTTATCTTTATTTTTTCAGGTACATGCTAAAGTTGGTTGTTAATGACAACAATAGAAAAGCATACCTCGGATTGTTTGAAACAAAGGAAAAAAAAACATTGGTCACTATGTACATGAGTTTGCCAAATTAAAAAAAATATATATGGAAAAGATTGAATGAGAACCAAAATTATTTAGAATAAGTTAAGTATACTTTTCTCCAGAATCATAATTTTTTTTCAAAATATACTAAATTGAATAATAAATAAATCAGTGCACAAAAAAATGTCGAAGTTAAGAAGAAAGTGAAAATTAGATATGCTACTAACGAGCTGGTTGAGGACGAGAACCCCACGTACACTGTCGCCTTGATGATCAGCAAGAGATCAATGGAAAGAGATAAAAGGGGGGTCTTCGGTTTCTCAACATTGCTAGGAGTAGGAGCTAATGTGACATTGACGTCGATTGCAGCGTGATCATCATTGACGTCACCGAATTCAAGGTTTTGGATTGTGTCAAATTCTCTATCAGGTCTGACAAAAAAAAAACTTCTCTATCAGGAGCTAAAAGCGAATTGGTAACCACGCAGAGGTGGATACACCCAAATCACATTGAAGAAGAACGTTGCGGAGAAAGAATAGACAGATCTACTGGATGAGTTCTTGAACTTGATTGGGTCAGGGTATAGAAGGCTTGACTCTGCTTCTGTTTGGCTGCGTTGGTTACTTTGAGGAGGCCATTGCCAGTGAATGCAGCTAAACCATATAGGTTGAGATTGACCGACTGGAGACGTTGAAATTGCTAGTATCGTGAGCTAGAACAAAGTTCGCCGTGGAGAAACCGCCAGATCAATCACGAAGAACATGCCCAGAAGCTGGAGAAATTCACTGAATGCACTACTCAAAAGATATTTTTGAATTTCCCGGGGTCAAATTGAATCTAATGCAATTTCAGCTATCGGTATCCTGACTTGCGTCACTATATTCCCAATGAATAAAAATTCACATGTCAATGGTGCATATATATTAGGGACCCGACTGTTAAATCATGCAAGAATTCAAACAAACAGGTAATAATCCTCATATAAGGTGGACTTGCTCTTATACTTTGGAGGTGGACCAAAAGGGGAAACCTAAAAAGAAGGCAATTTAGGCTAATGTGGACATTCCCAAGAACACGTAAGAATATACTGCAGAAATTGGTTCGATCAACAGAATCTTAACTTACAGTTTACATATACTTGCAGAGTCGCAAACCACGAATACTTGATGCATGAGAACACTAGTTTGACAATTACTTCGATCTATGAAATGTGCTTTTTATTTATATAACAAGCTTAAGACTCATCTTCCACCAGAGAGGAGAGAATTTGTGACGGAAGATGTTGCGAAAGGCGGATTAGACATGGTAGACTTAAGTCACCTTCATGATATGCAAATGTCAATCCGCTTTTTGAAATAC